GTCCAAGACCGAAACGAAAGAAGCGACGTTAACATTTATTATTCGCGCGCATGACGTCGCGCCACTCACCCAGCCAATCAGCCAATCGAACGTCTCGGGACTTACCCGGCCCCGAACCCATCCATCCGAAAGACGACGAAAAAGGATGAAGAAGCGAGGACACCGATGCAATTTCCCAACCATCTCGATCTCTCATAATTGGCCCATCCTTCCCTGCTTAGGACCCTTCGTCTCTACCGCGCAGAAAATTGCGTGGTGCGGAAATCGGTTCGTCACAGTGGTGTTATAGCGTGCCTTCTGACAGCTCTCGATCGGGTTTCGAGAGTTTCCTGATCGAGAGTAAGTGCAGCAACGACCCACGACGACCCACTCTCTAGACTTCGAGAGTCTACAGTGGTGCAGCGAGGTTGTTACTACCAACGAGCATAGCTGAGTAAGTACATCATGAACCGTTGAAATACAGACCCAACTTTGAAACCAAATGCAAAAAGATTCGAAATTACGTGGGGCAGGCCGGGTCGGCAAAATCTCCCCCTCCCAAAGAGAGATAATTTGCATCATGACCTTCAAAGTTGCACTTCTTTGCATCACGCCCTTTGCAACGCTGACTTACCGTAAAGCGCCCCTTTGAGGATGAGTCAAATTTGCAAGAAACCCCTGCCGTTGGTTGGGCCTGAAATATTTTCATCATCCCCTAAAGTGCCCCTCTGAGAATTTTCAAAACTTTATTATATGGGACGCTGGGCCCGGTTTCCAGCATGTGCAGCTCCCCATAGATTGGAGCCATCTAGTTAGCGGGGGCCAAGTCCCACTTAAGCTGATTCTTGATTTCTGGGCGCTGATCTTTGTTATCTACGGTGAGCCATGGAGCATTCGGGTAAGTGGGACTTGGCCCCGGGACTAACATGGCGGTGCTCTTATCACCCCGGTTAGTGGCGGTATCTTTGTTTGATTAAAAATATCAAAAAACAAAAAAGAGACAATCACCCCACGAGAGAGAGAGAGAGAGAGAGAGAGAGAGAGAGAGAGAGAGAGAGAGAGAGAGAGAGAGAGAGAGAGAGAGAGAGAGAGAGAGAGAGAGNAGAGAGAGAGAGAGAGAGAGAGAGAGAGAGAGAGAGAGAGAGAGAGAGTCGCCGGCAGCACCTGGGGCCACTTCCAATCTTAGGCCTGGACCCCACTGCCCGGCTGGAAACTGATGTTGGCCACAAAAAACGGCCGAGCGTGGTTGGAAAGAACTTGCCGCGTTTTGTTGGGACCCCACCGCTCGGCACTGGAAACAGATGGACATGCCCGAATAGGAAATCCCCCCGGGGTGTTTCCCGAAAAGGCAAGTCGGGCCGGGGCTGTGGTCCATGGCCTTCTATCAGCCTGCACCAGGACATGTCTGTGTGTGGCCGTGCGCGACCCGGTGTGGCGGGTGCCGCCCAAGTACCGTGCAGCACACAACGGCCTCACGGGGTCCGCTCGGGCGGCGGGGCGCGTCTGTGCACGGAAATTACCGTTTGGATCATCGGTGGATGTCCCCCCCTGCCAACCCTCCTGCCGTTGGGACCACTTTTCCCACTCTACGGACCATGCAGAGTGGGAGTGCAGTCATGGAGCACTGACAAGAAGCCATAGCCGTTGACGAAGGAGGAGGGTTTGGCGAGGAGTACGGGTCTGCGAAGGTTGTGCGCTCGTCAAGTGGCCACGACAGCTGGTGTGCAAGGGTCGACGCTGTTCGACGGGCCAGACCCTGGGGTCCTTAGGAGAACCGTGCGACGACAAAAAACAAGAGCATCTCCGTGGCGGCCTCCCGGTCCAAAAAACGGGCCACGACGAGGGTGCGGGGTCCACGCCGTCCAGCCGTTGTCTGGAAAAGGATGGACATGCCCCCGCCCCCATGCTCATCTGGACGCCTCCTTAAAAGGGAATTCTGGAAACGGATGGACATGCCGCCCCCCCCCATGCTCGTCTGGACGCCTCCTTGGAAAGGGAATGGAAAGCAGTAGGCGTTGAATTTCCAGACCGCGGACCAGTAGAAATGTTCCGCGACCTGCTTCAGAGCACGGACCTGCTTCCGAGCACGGGGGGTCTGGAATTCCTTTCCGGGGCCAACTTTCCACACTTGTTTCCAACACGGGTGGGGTCTGGAAAACACTACAGCTCCCGAACTTTTCCAGGCCGCCGGGCAGTGGGGTCCAGGCCGCCGGGCCAGATCCCACTAGCAAAGAGGATTGGAATATGCCTCTGAATCTGGACGTGTTCGTGGAGAGGTGCAAAAATTTGTGATTGCTTTTCTGCATCTTTGCCTGGAACACGTCCAGATTCGGTCGCTTATTCCTATCCTCTTTGCCAGTGGGATCTGGCCCTTACCCGGATTGTGGAGTTCTGGTCTACAGTAATGAAGACCAACAGACAGAAATGAAGCATCCGGCCAACCTGGACTTCGCCCGGTCTGTCTTCCACCCAGCACGACCACTTGTAGGGACGACTTCCGTCGTCTCCAAACACAAAAAAAAAACGTACGTCATTATGTCAGTAGCTTGCTCAAAATTGCTCTGATTTTAGCTATAATGAGGGCTATTGTATTCGAGGAAATAAGCTAGAGGGCCCCGCGGAGAAAGGTCAGCCGTTATGGCACAAGTCGAGTCGGTCCCGGACGCTTTGTGTCCGTCATCGCTGGCCTCAGCTGCCCCCTCTTCTGCATCCCTTCATCTACCTTACCTAGACTTCGTACACCGAACACAACGCTTCCTCATCATGACTGTATACAAGCTATCTTTCGAGATTGATGCAGTGATGGTGAGGGTGCGCTCTGCTCGGGGAAGGGTAGTACCCCACTCGCAGTCACAGTCTCACACCATGCAGCACCTGGCCCCACTGCTGCTGCTACGTGGCTGGTGAGAAGCACGGACCTGGCCATGTTTACGACCACGTTCATGCCTTCCAACACAAAGATGGCATATTGGGGTCCAGCCCGTACGGCTCCCTTAACCTGTGAAAGAGGAGAGGAAAACGGGGATAAGAAAGGAATAGCCGGGGAAAAATAAATAAATACATAAATAAATAAATAAATAAATAAATGAAATGTCGTCCTTCGGGACATCCGCAAGAATTGGAACGGCAGGGAGCAGATCCATCATCATGCCCCTGGGCCCAGGTCCCACCAGCAAAGAGGGCACTGGGCTTAGGGCCAGGTCCCACAGCAAAGAGGGCACTGGGCTTAGAGCTCAACCGCACCCCCCCCCACCTTCCCGTCAAAGGTCGCGGGCCGTTTGTCCCTTTGCGTCCTTTTTTTTTTTTTTTTTTTTCCCTCCCTTCTCTTTTTTGATATGGGCCTGCTAACACACCATTACGCGCGGATATCTCGATTGAACAATGTTCCCCATCCAACGGCTATGGTCGTCAAATCGCATGTCGTTGAAAAACTAGCGAAAAAGAAATAAAACAATCTCATTTGTCTGAAAGGTACAGGCTACGGAACTGTATCACTCGACTCAAATGAACTCGAATCCCGCGATCGACGGCTGTATGATCGAAGTGATACACTGCGGTTTCTGCTTCTTCACAGCCGTCTGCGTCTGAGATGCGACCATGTTCCTTGTGTGCCTCGTGAGCTACTTCTGGACATCTTCCACTCCTCCTAGCCGATGAGATAGCCATGGAGGAAATGCCTTCCTGGGATCCGTAGGGAAAGTACTCTCTCTCTCTCTCACTCTCTCTCTCTCTCTCTCTCTCTCTCTCTCTCTCTCTCTCTCTCTCTCTCTCTCTCTCTCTCTCTC